AGCACCCTGCTCTAGTGGAAGGTGTCCCTGCCCGGGGCAGGGGTTGGAGCTGGAGGAGCTTTCAGGTCACTTCAATCCAAAGCGTTCAGTGAGACACTTGAGCCACTCCAGGCACGGCCACTGAGGGTCCCATGAGGGACTCCCTGTGCCCTTGATCTGGCTCCTGCCCTTTCCTCAAGGGACGTGGTGCCTGGAGCAGGAGGGAGGGATGGAGACAGGTCCCCGGTGCAGGAGGGACCATCTCACCTGCAGAACAGCAACAAACCAGGTTCTCTCCCACAACAACCTGTGGAGGTTGTTGGCCGGTGCATTGGCCACATTGCTCCGAACCACCACGGCAGCATCCCAATTCCCACAGGAGAATGAACCCCTTCCTCGGGGGCCTGGGGAGATGCAAATCACACCGTAAGGGCTTGCGGGGGCCTCAAGCTCCAACAGCACATGGAGCAGGGCAGGTAATTCCCGACTTCTAGGCACAGCACTGGGAGCAGATGAATGGAGCATTGAGGCCGGGGTGGGAGACAGCACCGGGGTGTTTACTGAAGCCACGTGTGTGTGTGTGTGAGGAATGTCAGAGCCGCTCACAACCGCCTCTTTGGAAGGAGCGGGCAAAGCTCTTGCTCATGTCTAGGAATGAGGATCCAGGAAGGAGGCAAAAGTCAATATGACCTGAAAATCCCCAGCCTGGGCCTGGTGATTGATGCTATTAATAAGGCAGGAGGAGGGGAGGGATCAATGCTCAATGCAGCTCTTTTTGCAGCGGGAGGGGTGGGAGCCGCGTCGGGGTCCCAGCAGCGGCCGGGCACAAACCGCCTTTGACAGGGCCCATTCGCTCCTGGGCTTCTCCGGGAGCTGGAGGCCAAATAAAACAAGGGACGTGTTGATTTTGTTCTGGGACAGTCTAAGGGGCTCTTTCAGCCCCAGAACTACTGTTTGAGTGAGGCAGTGGGGCTGGAAGCTCCATCCCAGCGGTGGGTGAAGCGCTAAAGCAGGTTACTGGGACAGGAGCCCCCGTCCCTCCTCCTGAAAGCAGCAGGATCAATGGTGATAACACTCATTGCACGGCTGTAAAGGCTTTTTAACTCCATCTTGCAGCAGCTCTGGCTCCTGCCTCCATGGCTTTGGGCTGAAACTGCTGCCTGGAGGGGGGTGCATTTGAACCAGAGGGTGAATTACACCAAACAGCCTCCTCCAGCGCAGCTCCAGCTCCTTGTGCAGGGATCCAGCTCCATTTACACAGCGACGATGACAGACACACACAGAAGAGATCCGAGGCTGCTTTTTTGCTTCAGATCTTTACTTGCAGTCAAAGATAGAAAAAGAACGTGGTATAAAACACACCAAGGGGAGAGGGAAGGGGGAGAATCCAGCCTACAAAGAACACAACCTGGCAGGAGCAATGGAGGGGGAGGAAAGGGAGAGGTTTTGTACAAAACTACTGTTACAGGTAGAGAAAAATGTATAAAATATCCCTCCCTCTCTGGAGATAAAAGTACAAAAGTGGGACATGGTTTCATTCCTTCCTTCCACGCAAGAAGGGGTCTGTACAGCAGAGGTGAGCAGCAGGGTCAGCAGCCGAGGAAGGGGAAGCTGCTCCAACACGTGCTGCTTCCTCCCACATCGCACTGGAGAATAAATTAAACCAGTTGAAGCATGAGCCCAGCCCGGGGAGGCCCAGAGGAGCGAGGGCCACAGGGCAGGATGGGCAGAAGCAGGGGGGGCACCCCCCAGAATCCCACTTTTTGGAAGGGTTTAAGCACTTCCGAGTGTTTTACTTCGTCCCCCCGCAGCTGGTGCTGGTGGCTCCCGGGAGGTGGGTGCTGGGTGGGCTCGGAGATACCTTTGGAAGCACTTCAACAACTCAACTCTGTGGGGCTTTGCCTTCAAATGCAACCTCTGACCTCGCGCCAGGCTCGAGCCCCAGGCAAAACATGTGCAAAATATCCTGGAGAGAAAGAGGAGCGATTCATCCCGCTCCACTGGGGCCCTCGCACCAGGCCAGAGGCTGCAGCCCCAGCCCCTGCGAGGAGGCAAAGGCAGGGAAGAAGTAAAACCAAGCAGCCCAAACCCAGCACACTCAGACTTTGTTCTGTCGCTCCAGGAAGAAGCAGAACGTTTGGCAACACACACAAAGCCAAGTGAACGGCTCTAGTTTTGTACCTGAATATCCGTAAACAGTTTTGAGGCTTCCAGAACTGGGAAGATCAATTCCTCAGGAAGAAAAAACACCTTCTGCAAAAGCTGCTTTTAACAAGTTGCTTGCAAAGATCCCCCACGTCCTGCCCTCGAGGGATGCCCGACCTGCCCAAGCTCTCCAAAACCCACCACCAGGTCCCAAGCACCGGAGGTACCAGGTTATTATCTTCAGATGGGTGCTAAGGGGCAGAGCTGGCGATGGGTGAGAAAACCCTGGCTTTGAGGATGGAGGGGAGGTGATACAGGAGTAGAGGATGCATCCAACACATCCCTCCACAAGCAAATCCCTCCACATCCACCCCCAAACAGGCTTTTGCCCACCCAATTCAGTGCTCCCCCAGTGCATAGAGAGCCCAGAGCCACCCGAGCACCTTCCCCTCCCCTGAAACCCTGCCAAAGTCACACCATGGGCTCAAAGCCGGCAGCGAGAGCTGCCTAAGGGAAAGATGAAAAGCTCCTTGGATGTTTGAAGCTGCCCCCACAAGTCTCAGCACCTGAAATTGCTCGTAAAAAATAGGTCCGGAAATACAAACCCCAAAAGAGAAAAGGGAAAAGCAAGTGTGCTTCGGAACACTTGTGTTGGTCCGTGACTGGTGCCTCATCAAAAGTAGGATGCAGAGTTCACTCGTGGTGTCTTTGAAGGCCCAAGGGCAGGTCCATGCTCAGGGCAGAGCTGGGCACTTGGAGAGAACCTCGCAGGGAAGTGGCTTTGGGCTCAAGGGCATCAGAGGAGCTTGCGGTGGAGGATCTCCCAGGCCATGCGCTTGCGGAAGTACGGCATGTGCTGCTGCAGGGGAGAGGGGAAACATCCTCAGCCACTGCTGGAGCACTGAGCTCCTGGAGCCACGGGATGGGCTGAAGGGACCTCAAAGCTCCTCCAGCTCCAACCCCTGCCCCGGGCAGGGACACCTTCCACTAGAGCAGGTTGCTCCAAGCCCCTGTGTCCAACCTGGCCTTGAACACTGCCAGGGATGGGGCAGCCACAGCTTCTCTGGGCACCCTGTGCCAGCACCTCAGCACCCTCCCAGGGAAGAGCTGCTGCCTCAGAGCTCATCTCAGTCTCCCCTCTGGCAGGTTCAAGCCATTCCCCTTGTCCTGTCCCTGTCTAAAGCTCCTCCCCTGGGTGCAACTTTTGAAATGGTGCCTTTTTTGGGGAAAAAAACATACGGAAAACAGGAGAGTGGATGAGATCTGGGAAACAACATCACTCTGATGATGTTCTCTAATAATCAGAACATTAATGCGTATTCATGGAGGCTGATGTTAAGTAACACTGAAATTCCCCAAGATTTGGGCTACAACACCTCACTTTCCCAGGGAATTTCAGTGTGTACAACTACGAATGGGGCTCACTATGGGTTTGAGCTTCCCCAGCGGGTTGGAGTACAACAAGAGCCCCGAGGATGGCTCGAGAGGAACCATCTGCACAGAGCAAAGAGCTGCCCCAGTGCCTTGAGCCAGCTCTGGTCCAAGGAGCTGCTCTACCATCCCCACATGGGCTGGGGGCACTTGAAACCCACAGGGAAGGAAGCAAAGGGCGTTTGGAACATCAGAACATGGACCATCTCTCCCTGACGGTGAGGGACACGTCGGGATGGGCTTTACCTGGGTGAAGTTGATGGGCTTGTCTTTGGTAATGCAGTCAGCGTATTTGCAGGCGAACATCCCACAGTCGCTGCCATTCATCTGCTGCGGGATCTCCTGGGAGCAAAGGACACAAACCCAAATGTCATTCCCAGAGGAGCCACTTGCCACCTCCTAAGGATGAAGAGCTCCAAGGGAAGGACCTCTCTCAAAGGAGTCCTCATGAGGCAGCTCTGCCAGTGCGAGGGAGGGGGAATGAAGACAAGAGGGTGGGCACCAGGAGATGAGGTGGCACTGGAGCACCCGGCTTGGGAAACCTCCCTGGAATCTGCAGCAAAGCAGCCACTGAATAGCTGGGATGTATGAGCCACCCCAAGAACGCATCCATTGGGAAAACCAGCCAGGAAAGGTGCTTCGAGCCCTTCTGCAGAGCTCTGCCTGCCCACACCTACCTGACTCTTCTTGCTCAGCAGCGACCAGCCATTGGTGTCGAACTCCTTCCTCTTCTTGTCAAGACTTTCCTGTTTTAAGTATTGCCTGTAGGAATAAGGGAACAAAGAGAAGCTTACTCAGAGGAGAGGGGAAAGCAGCCAGTGGACTCTGTGGCCGTTTACCCAGGACAACTTTGCCATGTTTGCAGAATTAATGCAATATGGAAGTCCAATATTTTCGTCTCGGTACTGGCTACTTCAAACAGGGCTCCACAGACCCGGGCTTTGAGGCAGGTAAAGAAGGACCAAGCAGGACTGAAACCCTCATCCAAAACAAGTACCTGCCAAGCAGAGAGTCAAAACCACAAATAAACCAGCGAGAACAAACCTAATTCATCAGAGGGTGACTCAGGGCAAGGAAAAGCTCAGCAGCCACGGGGCTGCCTCAACAGGCTCTTGCAATGGGAGACTGGAGAGCTGGGCTCCAGCTCTGAGGGCATCCTGTGCACTCGTGTCTCTTGTCTTTTGGGGGTCTTGTTCAGCACAAAAGGGAGACAGGAGTGAATGTGTCAAAGCTTTAACAACAGCATCCAGCAGCTCTGGAATAGTGACTCCATGTGTAAAGCATCACAAAACCACCACGAAGCTCCTCTCCAGGCTGGTGGTGGGTTCAGCTCGCTGGCAGATGATCTCCTGGAGCTCTCCTCCCACATTTCCCTTCCACTCCTGATTTGAGGACTTCTTATCACCACAGAAGGCAAAGAGCAAGTGCTTTCAAGGAAGAAAAGTAGGGAAGATGACCCTGATTTTCTCCAATGAGCTCCAAGGCTTGGGAATGGAAGGAGGCAGCCCTGGGAAAAGCCACACCACAGTCCTCTCCAAAATGCTTTTACAGGGATTGAGTCAAGCTGGGAGCACACGTGGGAGAAGGAGCAGGGTGGGATGTCAAATACCTGCACAAGCCTTCATCAGCGGGAGAAAGGCCTCAGAGCCAGTCCCATTCCAGGTCCTGGAGCTGGAAGACAAGGAAAGCTCACAGGTACTGGTCCACCTCCTCTGCCCAAGGAGCCTTCCACCAGTTTGGCCTAAATGATACCATGGAAGAACAGGGAAGCGTGGGGCTCCTCCCAAGACCATCCCAAGCTGCTGCCACACTCTTCTCTGTGCAGGTATGAACACCCTGAACCATTCCCCTCACTGGGAAGAACAGAAAGAGAAGCTCAGGAAGGACCCACACAAAGGTGGACTAGAAGGAGCCCAAGGAGATGAGGTGATGGGCCCAAGATGTTGTTAATGGCCCTAAAGGAGCTCCTCTCTGTTGGCTGCTGGTGCCATTAAGTGACATTCAGCTTCACAGACACCTTCTGCCCGTGTTGGCTACCAAAGGAACCAGGAAGACCTACAGAAACCACCTCCTTCACGTTTGGCATCTTCTCAGAACAGCCCGAGGAGCTTTCTCAGCGTCGCAGCTGTGATCAGAACATTTGGAAAGGAAAAAGCAAGGGATTAGATGCTGCTGGCTCGAATGGAGGGGTCAAGAGAGCATCTGGCAGGGAGAGGGAGGCGGGTTTGGCTGCCAGCATGGGGAGATGTGCCATCTTTCAGCAATCTGATCCACAAAGACTTGGCTAAGTCACATCTTGCTGTTAGTAAACGCCGGGACGTGGTGGGAGAAAGGGTGATGTGACCTGCAGACAAGCCCAAAAGATGCAGGCTCAAACTTGCTGCCTTGGTGCCACTCAGGGGGGTTTCTCTATCAAAACTCCAAAGAAGTCCTCGAAGAACTCTCCTGGGCCAAAGAGTCCCTGAAACACCCAGAGGCCACTGAACAGTCCTCAAAGTGGCAGCAGAACAACCCAGCAGCCTCTGAACATGAAGCCAGCCCCGTCCTAGTGGTTGTGTCTCTAGAAAATGGCCAGAAACAAGAAGGTTTTGCTGGATGTGGAAGTGTCAAGGAGGGGAGTCTCCTCCTGGCAGTCCTCTGAGAGCAGATCAGCTCCAGACAAGCATTTTCTATCAGCCTTCATTAGCTGGATGCTCCCAGTTCCCCAGCTCAGGGTCTGCTGGCTGCCAGCGACTGCTGTAATTGCTCTTGGGAAGCTTCTGCTTGGCTTTGACTCGGCTGCAGTTTGGACAAGATCAGCAGGGGGTAAATCTCAGTCCACAACCAACCCCAAACGACCTTTCACTGAGCACGAGAAGTCTCCATATCCCAGCTCCACAAATAAAACCTTATGGGTGGGGAAGAACCTTCTTGCAACAGGTTGAGATTAAGGGCGAGCTGAGCCTCCAGCACTGAGGGAGGCAGCAAGTTGTCTGCACCACCCTACAAACGTTAGTGTATTAACAGCCTCATTGCAGGAACAATAAAATCCTGGCAATTGCTGCCTAATCCAGAAGCCACTTGAATCCTCAGCTAAAAAAAGAGCAGCAGCCCACAGCCCCTCCTGTTCTGCACGATAAGAGACGGGGAGTGAAGCTGTGCTGATAAATACAAGGATGCAGCACGCAAGGAGCCTCCAAACAACGTCTCCACATGGACATATGGAGTGGAGGCAGAGAGGATCCAAGCGTGAGACTCGTCTGGCAGACAGGGAAGAAGCCAGCGACGTGGAAATGGTGCTGGAGCTTTGGTGGCTTCAGTCCATCCACTTTGATCTGCAGCTGCCACAAGCCGCAGCCGCGATGCCGACACACGCAGAGCAAACAGGGAATTGGAAGGGTTTTGGGGGAGAGTGAGGGAATAAATCTGTGTCCATCACCTGGGCTTCTGGCTTCCCAAAAGCAGCCTCCACCAATGGACAAGGTGATCAGCAAACATCAGGTGCATTGTGTAAGAAACTCAGCACCGCTCCTGCCTCGGCAACAGCCTGGACCCCCTCTAAGGAGCCTGAAAGCGAATGCCTTGACTTCAACTCATGAGACAACTCCAGGAGGCAGAACTTAATTGATGAACTTTGTCAGGACCTCAAGGGGAAGCAGCCTGGCCTGGAATTCTGAAGCAGAATTACATGCCAAATCAAAGCCCAACATGCCTGAGATGCCCCAGCGAACAGGCTTTCCCAAGCCTGAAATGGATTCTTGCCCTCCACAGTGCTCACAGAAACACACAAAAACCTGAGCAGGTGCCTCAGGGAGCTGCTGAAATCAGCTCCACAGCAGGCTGCTAAATGTCTAAGAGCCTTGAAGCAAAGGGCACGTGAAGGGAAGCGCTTCAAGCACTGCTGTGAGCAGGAGATAAGGAGATTTCATAGGCATGAGGTGCTTTCAGCTCTCCTCCCATCTCACTACACCAGAATCAAGTTCTCAACTTATCTCAGGAGGCTGGTTTATGTCTGCTCCAAAGCACAGCTCCTTCCAGCAGAGCTGAGACACTGAGCACCGTGTTTCCCAACGAGAAACCCCCAAAAGCAGAGGCAGCTTTCCTAAAGTCCTCTCCAGGTCTCACCCCCAAGCCCAGATGCTGAACCAAAGCAAGGCAGCCACCAAAGCATGGCCATCTGGGGTCCCTACTCACCCCTAGCCAGGCCAGGGGCCCTGGTATTTAATCAGTTGCTTTCCCTGAGCCTCAGTTTCCCTCCTCTGTAAAAAGTCTGGCCAATGGTACAACACTCACCACCTTTAGGAAGCTCTAAAGATTGAAAGCATGAAAGGGTCACTAACCATGAATAGGACCTCCGTCCCTTCTTCCCGGTGTGATCCTCCCACTGCATTCAACCAATAAAAGCCTCCTAAAAGGAAACAGAGGGAAAACAATTACGTCCAGGGCAACAGTGACCCGAAATCCTGGCTCTCTACTGCTCGCCCTGCACGGCTGAAGCACTCTATGCTCTGATACTCTCTAACACCATTTTGGGGACCTGCTTCCTCGTCCCAGACCCCTCAAACCAAGCAAGGGCAGGACTCCCAGGTCCTCCTTGCACCTCTCAGGTGCTTCATTTCACCAGACATCCTCGGACCAGAGACATTCAGGCTGAAAGGAACTGGTTATTCCCCAGCCCATCCCTGCCCCAGGGCTCATCCTCGGACCAGAGACATTCAGGCTGAAAGGAACTGGTTATTCCCCAGCCCATCCCTGCGAACTAAGAGATGCTTCCCCCAAGCCACTTCCAAAGCCTTTATGCTTTTCCTTTCCCTTTAGACCAACATCCCAGAAGAGTGTGGAAAAGGGAAGCAGATACTTTGACAGTTCTATGCATGAACCCAGCACTCGCAGGCTGCAGAGCACCTGAGCAGGAAACTAAAGGTGCTCAATGGACTGGAAATGGCATTTCCCTGCTCTTTCTCATTATCCACATTCCTGAACTGAATGAGTGACACCTCTGCTGACAAACTCAGCCTCATGCCAGAAGAGCTGGGATCACATTCCCAAGTCAGCATCACAGGAAAGCAGAGACGAGAACCAGAAGCGACGGCAGAGCCAGGGTCAGCGCCGGAGCCACGGAGCCGGCGACTGCGTCTCCCAAATCCCTCCTCAGGGTGATCTGCATCAAGCCTGGTGGCCCTACGGGAGCAGGAGCCTTCACAAGGACCCAAGGAGCAGCTCACTTTTAATCTCACTCCATTCAGGAGGAGTTTCCAAGCATGGGAACCCAGTTCTGGAGCTGACACACAACCAGAGCAGGCAGCCAGCTCCACTCCGTCCTGGAGCATGGCTCAGGATGGGAAAACCAAGACCTCTGCACTTTGAAGCCACAAGAAGAGCTTTTGCCCAGCTCTGATTCGGAGGCATGGCACAGCATGGGACACCCTGCTGGGACTCAGTACAGAAGAGACCATGCAAACCTTTATCCATGGCCTGGTGCAAGAGATACCTCCACATCCTACATCCATCATTGTGCTCTCCTGAACCTCCTCAAAACAAAGGGCTGAGCTACTGAGCAGATCTTTGCCACAGGCAGGAAAAGCTCCCACCTGGAGGAAGGAGCCAGGAGATGCCATTTCTTCAAGAGGCTGCAGGACAAGGGCAGGACCCTGATCCCTCAGGGTCTGAGAATTTGTTTTTCTCCTAAAGATGATGCCCAAGATGATGCTCTAAGACTGATAAAGCCTCATGTGTTTAACAGAACGGGTCTGAAACCTGCCTATACCCACGAAGGTAACACCAGCCTCACTGACAAGTCTTCTGGGAAGAGGTGAAGACAAGACATCAGCACAGGACACTCACAGACCACCTTTGTATCTGCAGACCAGGATGTTCCTCTGAATCCTCCTTTCAGGACCCAGAAAGGGACTGTCCCCGCGGAAGGGTGGTGGCTTCCAGAGCAAGATAAGAGGCTGTCCTGTTTCAAACAGGCCCGACCCAAAGTGTTACTCACAACAGGATCCTGCAGGCTTCGCTGTTAATTCCACCCATGGAGTCGTAGTAGGTGATGGTTTTCTTCCTGAAGTCTACAACCTACAGAGAGAAGAGAGATTTGTTACCAACACACAACACAAGGAGCTCAGCCTTCTGCCAGCACACTCACTCTGCTGAAAGAAGTTTAGAGCATTTCATAGCAGAGAAGGATCTCAGAGGGCTTCTAACAGCCCTCCCCACATCCCCCCTTTGCTGCTGTGTTATCAAACCACTTGAATCTCCAGAGCAGGCTCTCCTCAGATCACCCTGGTAAGACACAAGAGCACTCTGTTATCCTTATTGTTCACTGTTACCCTTATTGTCCAAGCCTCAGGTAGGTTTACAGAGGCTTTGCTCCACCTGAGGTGTGCATAACGAAGCAGTTCAAGACAAAAGTGTCCCCCCCAAGTGTTCTTTGGGGGCCCCATTTCCACCTCCCTCCTGTCGGAGCGTTGCCCTTGCAAGGTTTGAGCTAAGGAGGCTGAGCTAGCCTTCAAAGCCACGTGTGATGTGTCACCACACAGGCACCAGCAGCCAGGAGAAGGGACAGAAGGAGATCAGGGGCAGGAGGGAGGGAGAACTGCTCAGTATCTGTCACCTACATCTCTCTTAACTGATCCTATGGCAACATCTCTAAAGGTGAGTTTGTGGGAACTGGAAATGAGATCCTTCTCCAGAGAAGGACTTGGCCTGAGATGACCTTCCCCTTCTCTTTAAAAGCCTAGAAACACCCCCAGAAGTTATCCTTTTACTTCTCTAGACCTCAATTTTGGCCACAACCATAGAACTTCCCTCCCCACCCTGCACCCAGTGACAACCAAGAGCTGGGAAGTTTTAGCCTCAGCCCCACATGGATTTGTAAGACTGGAAATTCCAGCTCTATCCTACTGGGAAGAGCTGAAGCACTCACTGCGAGGCACCAGTGCACTCCCAGATGGATGGGCACCAGAAGGAGATCCACAGAGAAGACATCCACTTTTTTAGTCCACCGTTTCACAGCCTGGTACCCTGCTGTTTTTAACTTGGTGAAGAAGAAAGTATTGAAGGCGTGAACTGCCGGCAGCCCCTTCTCTTTGCTCCTCTCCATCAGCAGGTTCATGTAGAAATTGATTATCTGGGAAAGAAAAAGCATCCAGGACATGGCAGAGTTGACACCTCTGCAGCAGGTGCTCTGCCCCAGTGCAAAAGTAGGTAAAGAATTGGGGTTGTCTCCATCCGACCCTCTGAAGAGCTGCCCCTGAGGGGATTTACAGCAGCTCCACAGCCTTAAAGCCTTCACAAGCAATGAAGATTTAGGAATCAGCCTCCTGTATTGAAGATCTACTTGGGGGTTTTTGCCCTGATTGTGGCCATGGTCAGTCCCACTCCTCCCAGTATTATCTCTCTTGGTCTACAAAGGGCTTTCTCCACAGATGAACAGAACAGAAACCACAGCCCACAGCTACAATTCTCTCCCAGTTCTTCCAGCAAATACAGGGCAAAGTCCTTTGTTCACTTCAACTGAGCCCAAATCACTGAAGAACAACATCTCAGCAGGTCCTCACCTCATCATTGAGCCAGTTCAGGTTATTGAGGGTCTGGATGTCTTTCCGAGTGATTGTCAACCGAAAAGCTTCACTGAGGACCTCGTCCTGGTTCCCACCTCGGAACACGCTCTTGATTTCCTTCTCCATTTCCTACAGGGAGGACACAGCATCAGAAGGGAGAGCTCCTGCTATTCCCACCACAAAGACTGGATCCAAACCCAGCCTTTGCTCCTCAAAGGATAAACGTGCTACAATATGTACATGCAAAAGGGAGCAGCTCCCTGATTCTGTGCACGGGCGGCAGGAAATCATGGCTGGATTTAGATCTTGGACTTACCTCGGTGATTTCGGGGAACTCCTCTTCACCATCAGCTGACTTGGCATCCTCTTTCTCTTCTGGGACCACCGTGACAGGGATTTCCTTCTCCAAGGGGACTCGAAGGTTTAAATCCACCAGATCCTGCACAGAGTGCTCCTGTTCCTGCAACCGCTGAAGGAGAGACCCTTACATTAAGGTGGTGTCTGAGGGAGTCACCTCTCCAGGGCTTCTGAGGGAGCTACGTGGGGTCAATTCCACTGGGAGATGCAGACAGGGACATGGAGGGGGAGCACTTCTCCTGGCAGTGACTCTACCGAGAGCGCTGCCATGGGAAGGGGAAGCAACAAAGACACCAGACCTCAAAGGAGTGGATTTTTGTCATTTTTCCCTTCCCAATTTGCTTCCTGTTCTCTGGTTTGAACTTTCAGCCCCACAAAGCCAGTTCCTGCAGCTCCTGCCCCGTTACCTGGCTCTGCAGCTGCAAGGCCAATGCTTTTTGCTCTTCTATTTGCCGCCACCTCTCCCGAGCTCGCGAGTCGTAGACGCTGGTCCTGAAATCACAGTTCATGTGAGCACATCACTGGTTTATCCCCTACAGGATATTCCATGACAGGAAGAAGCAGCACAAATCCTGTACTTACAGTTCTTTGATCCATAGTTCTGCCTGGAAGAATGGGAGGCTGGAATGGGGGAGAAAGGATAGGTGTAAGTGCTCTCCAAGTGGGGAGAAAAGCTCCATGTAACCCTCCCCTTCCTCCATCCACGGCCTCTTACCTTGGTGCTGGGGTTCTGGAATCCTTTACTTTGAGCAAAATGACAGAGTCTGACCCTAAAGAGAGCAAAGTTTATGGACTATTGTTACCACCACAATAAGCACCCACTTCCCCAGCTGCTGCAAGAGCCCAGACACAGAAGGGGAGGGAAGAAGTGGGTTTCCCACATACATTTTGAGTCCAATGCCCAGATTTGGGTTTCACTTTGGGTTTGGTTGGGGTTCCTTTACCTTCAGACTGTGTGGTAGATGCTGGTAGGTTTTCTTGCTGCTGCTGCTGGGCTGTGGAGTTTCTGGACTCAAAGATGCTGGAGGAGTAGGTGGGGGCAGAGTAGAGCGATGGTTTAGGGGACGGCTGCTCCTGCGCCCTCAGGACGCTGGTTGCTGGACTGGCTGGTGCAACACTGTGAGCTTCAAAGAGCTTCGAGTTCTGGCTGGGGGCTTCTTTCACTCCAGGTTTGCTGGAATTTGAACACCTGGACCTAGGAACGACAGGAAGTGAGTTCCCAGCGGATACACGAGGTGCTGTTGGCTGGGGAAGAGCATCTGACACACTCACAGATGGAAGGGGAACAGTGAAGAGGGCTTGGCCGTGGAAAACTGTTTCCCTGTGACCATCTGAAGCAACTGCCTGTATTTCCTCCCGAACAGTCTGCAGGGAAGCAACCAGAGAAGTGTCAACAATACAGTTCCACCGAGGACACTGTGAAGAGCGGGCACATGAGCACATCCAGGGGGGCCCAAAGTTCAACCAGGCCTTGAGCAGAGCAACTGCAGCCGAAGGCTGAACGTGGGCAGAGCTGAAAGCAGCGTCTGCCTGGCAGAGGGAGCAAAGCCAGCACAAGAGAGTGCACTAAAGCCACCTCAGGTGCTTCATGGTGCCCAGAAGAGGAAACCCCCCCATTGAACAAGTCTTTACCTCCTCGGCCGTGCTGATGAAGCGCCGGGGGGTTTTCTTGGGGCTGAGCAGGCTGCGGCGACAGGGGCCGCTCCACGAAGGGCTCTGAGCAGGTTTGATGGGAAAAGCTGAGGCATGGCAGTGGTGGTTGGATTTTCCTACAAAGCTGTTGGATGTCCCACTGCGAGGGGGGAAAAAAAAAGTTTTTAGTTGATTCCAAGCTGCGGTTTTAGGCTCTAACTTCATCCTCTTCAAAGCCAGGAGCGAGGCCACCCAGTCGCGCTCAGGAACGGGTGGTTTAGGAGCCATAGCCCAGCTTTGCCTTTCCAGCAGCTTGATCCTGCATCATTCCCGAGGCCTGTGCGGCCACGGAGGTGCGGCCAGGTGCACCTGCGGGGCGC